TATTTCGAATTGTGTAAATTGAGTATATGTAGTAGAAAAGTGCTTTTGAGTCACTTCTTGAGGCTTGGTTGCTGTCACTTGATTATATTGAAACCTCATTGCATTCTTGAAGTTATTTTTAAATGAGGGAGTTATTTGGTTGAGATTCACATGCTTGAGCCTAATTATTAGTACCAACCAAATCCATAAGTATGATGCTTAATTGGAGAATATGATTTGTGAATGATGGCGATGCTACTTGTGCTTTAAATGGTAGAACCTCATTGAATATTTGGTTTTGATTTGCTTGGGGATAAACAAAAGCTTTAAGTTGAGGGTGTTGATGAGTGGTGATTTTACCATTTATTCTAGTCTCTTTTCTTTAGTTTTTGTGTCCTTTAATTATAAAATGAGGTGATTTATTGTGTGCATTGCTAGATTTTCAGATAAATGATGCCATGAAGAGAGTTGAATTCAATTGAAGTTGAATTAAGCAAAAAAGAGTTAAAAAGTGCAAATTCCTTTGGTTGTTCCGCATATGCGCATCACTGCTCACTTCTGCTAGCTCGCTTATGCGAGTGGAAGTCCGCTTATGCGAAAATGGGCTACATTGCATTGGGTCACATCTGAGGTCATTAATTCTGCGACTATAGGTACGCATCTGCGGAGTAGGGAATTCTACACAGGATCCGCACCTGCGATTGGCAGACTGTTTTTGCGGAGTCGTACCTGCTGTGATTTATTCCGCAGGTGCGATCAACAGGCTTAAGCTGAGGACAGTGTTGGCATTCCACATTTTCTCCATTCCAAACCCACAAAGACACGATCTAGCTTATTGGAAACACATCTTTGGCTTATTTTTCAGTCTTTGGACTAGAGAACACAAGTTTTGGAAGCTAGGGTTCTTGCACACACACTTGGGTCTTGAATATTTGAAGCTTTTGGTTGAGAATTTCTTACCTATTTATGTTGATTTCTTCATTTTCTTGCTTTGTATTGTATATCTAAGTGTGTAGTATTTATTTCAACACTTGAATCTTATTTATGGAAATATTCATATGTAAAGTGTGGATTAAATATCTTGTTGTCCTTATATATTGAACGATATTTATTTATTATGAAGTGAGTTATTGTTTCTCTAATTATTCTTGTTATTTAATATTTCCAAAGGGATTAGCTAACCCTAGGACTCGCCCATTTACTTCGAATTAATTTTGGGAAAGATAGTTTGGGGTTGGAAAAGATTAATTAACAAGAACTTGAGGCTTTAACTCTCACTTTATAGATTCTACTTAGGGATAGGATTAAACTACTTCTAGCTATAATCGGGTGTGCTTAATCTTATAATTGTTTTAGGGATAATTCAATTAGGAAGTCTTGTTAGTCTTTGGAAGAACTAATATAGAATTATTACCCGAGGCTAATTAACATAAACTCGCTCATATTTATAAAATCGTGAAATACATTGGATCGTTATTTGAGTGTAATTCCCTGTGCATCCATACTTGTATCCATTGATCATTTTACTTGTTTTCTAGGCTAGTTTACATTTTCGCATTTAGACATAAATATTTTCTCAAAACTTTTCTAAGTGTTTCGCTTAGCATAACAAGTGATAATTTTTTTATATGCCTAATCGCCTACATATTATTTTCTGCGGAACTAAATTTTGATGACATCTAAATCCACTACTAAAAAGTAAATAGACACGTAGGAGTCTCTGTGAATTGCGGACCGCACAAGAATTATACGGCCGCAGAAGAAGTGCGTTGTGACCGTAGACCTAATTGTGCGAACTGTAGAAGATTGTCTCGCGGCCGCAGTTCAAAAATGTGCGACCGCAGAACTCCACTTCCTACCAAGATGAAGAAATCTACGGACCACACATGGAATTGTGCGGCCGCAGAACCTCCCAAGAGGCATTTTTCGAGATTTTCAGCCTTGTATAAATAGAAGAGTTTCATGAAATTAGAACAAGTTTTGAACATCTGAAATCGATGTAGCTGTTTTCTTTGCTATTTCAGGAAGGTTTAGCTTATTTTTGTGTTTTAACATTAGATTTCTTTATTTTAATCTTCCAATATGAGTTTAATTAGTCTTTCTTCTCTATTTTCTTCAAAAAAAAGTATGAGTAGCTAGATTTTTACTAGGGTTTTGACCCAACCCTAGTGTGTAAACCCGATGGGTATCTAATTTAGTGCTTGTGTATGATTGAGTGTTTATTATTTAGCTTAGTTCATACTTTAATTGTGGAATTAATGGTTGCAAACATTAGTTCATGCCTATTTGAGTTAGTCTCTACTTGAGAAAGAGAGACCAAGTCTAAGATAACTTAGCTAACAAGGAATTGGGTCAATTAAGAGATTTATTAACCCAATTAAAGGGTTTAACCTAGAGATAGTAATAACTCGACTTGAGATTTTATTAACTATTTTGTGTGATACTCATTTGGTCTTGATAAAGCCAATTTAGGCAAAACCACTCTCTGACCGAGAGATATTGAGTAGGTAATTTAGAGTTGATAGCTATAATATACCCCAATCAATAAAAAACATTAAAGTCTTTATCTCATTAGGCAAACACCTAGGTCATGATCATAGCCCTTGGCTTTTTATCAATTTGGAAAAACCTCAAAAATAATTATCTTTAGTATTCTCTCTTTATTTTGCAATCTTTAGAGTAAAATTACAAATAGAAAATAGGAATTGCAATCTAGATACTTCACTTGCTCATTTTGAATATATACTCCTAGCTCCTATCTTAACTCCCTGCGGATTCGACCCCGACTCTTAGTTGGGTTTTATTATTGCATACGACTGTTACATATCTCTATTGAGGTGTGCATTTGGACGTGATCATTCCCTAGCGGTAGTGTTTGAATCTTCCCTGTTGGAGTTGAAAACAATGGCACTTGTTAGAATGGTGGTTCGATAATCACAAATTGGGTAGTTGCCTCTGGATCTTTTGCTGCTGGGTCTGGGAAGAAGGGATTGATTGGAAAGCTTAGGATATCAAGTTGTTGATCATTGGGGGTTCCAGGTTGGGATGCATGTTGCCATTGAGGGTTATCGATTTCCAGATGTTTGGGCCAAATACAAGGCCTTATTCAAGGCTTCCACTGTTACCCTAGTCAGATGCGCTGGGTTTTGGATGATTAAGGTCACTGGCTGGTTCCTTAAGTGGAAGTTGTAGGCTAGTCCTTGTTCCTATAGCGCCAGTTCCAGCCACGATGCCGGTGTGTGGTCTGGCGGCAATGGGAGGGAGGTCACGGGGATGGGTGATTGTTGGTAATTTTCCATTTTTCTGTTTTTTTGCTTTGTCTCTTTCGGTAGAATCGGGATTAGGTTGGGCGTTTGGTACACAATAGGGTAATTGGGGTTAAATGTCAAATCAGACCTAGCAATTTGAGCGTTGAGATTTGCATCTAATACCATAAATTAATTGTGATGTGCTTGAGTGGACGGAAGATGTCATGTCACCTGAGTTTGAGTGACTTCTCAGGTGATTCACTTGAGTAACCATGGATTGTGGTGAGGGTGTTTCTGTAAATTGCTCTGGTAGGGGACTAGTAGGTATTGGGGTAAGGAGTATCATTTGGGTTAGTGTACGTGGATTGGGGATGGTCGCCGGTAGTGGACTTGGTTGGGAGGTGGTGGCCCAGTCCAAATTTTTGGTTTGTGATGGGGGCCTCATTGTGTACAACTTGGGCTTGGCTGGGGCCATTAGTTGTATCCGTATTTGACTCTTCTGGCCCTAATCCCGCTTTCCTCTTTGCCTTGGACTTGGGTGATGGCTTATTAAAATTTTAAGGTGGTGTTTTAAAAAAAAATGAAAAAATAGTTTTAAGAAAACCAAAATCAATTAAATAGGCATCATAAATAAATGAGTACGTTCATAAAAATTGAAACCTATTGATGCGAATTAGAGATGAAACTTTTCATAATAGAAAATCTGAAATTTAAAAATAACAAATAGTAGGAATTATACCTNTTTAATACTCTTATATTGGTTGATATTTTTAACATATCGATGATTGAAAACTTTTATGTTGCTGGTGCATTTTGCTGCTCTATTTGATTTTATCTCCATGTTTTAAATAGCATAATGACTACTAATATTTATGCCGTGAAATATCCATGTTTCGTATTTTGTGTGGGTTCAAAAGTGGGAGATTAATCAAATGCTATGTCTGTGGTTTTTCTTGACTTATACTTTTACTTCTTCATCGTAGTGAATTCTAGTCATTAAGAAAGTCTATTGGTGTACGTTCTTGATTTAATTCTATGTTATTTGTGTCATCATTGTTATTTCAAAATCTTGTTTAGGTCTATGTAGAAATGAGTTGTGGACAAATATCGAATCTTGGCCTATGGAAATCGTTTATAGTGGGAATGCACGTTAGGTGTTTGATGATATATGGAAATGTTTGATTCACTTTCTTTTCTGTTAGTGTAGTGGATGCTGTATTTGAGTATTTAAGTTGTTATGCATGAGGATATACTTATGCTGAAAAGGGGGCTAACAGGCCGTATGAATTAATTGAGTTATGAGTTATTAAGTTGAAGCTTGATGCAGCAATGCAAGTGCATGGTGTTACTGGTTTGTATATATCACAATTATATGATTAAACAAATTACGAATATGTGTAATTTGTGTAAATCTAAAGATTGAGCACAGATATACTTCTGAATAATTAAGGCCTCCTTTTAAGGGATATATTGTTACCCCTTACTTTTGGTACGTTTCAGTACTGAGTAAATAAGATAGTATATTGTAATTATAAGAGACCTATAGATGGTGTAGCTCTGTTACCCCCGATATCTATATATATTTAAATACACATATCTGTAGATTTCTACTTCCCCCGGAACATCTTGAGTTGCAGGATTGTTCGCTTCTCTGCGGTTTCTTCGAAAGGTACCATTAACCAACTCTTTTCTTTTTCTCTTATGTTCTCTAGTTGAGATTATGATCTCCCTCTTTTCTTCTTCTTCTTCTTCTTCTTCTTCTTCTTCTTCTTCTTCTTCTTCTTTTGATTCATGTGTTTTTGTAATGACTTATTCTTTCTTCGTTTTTACTATTGCCAACTCTTGCAGTCGTGTACTGATTTTCAACCCCCTTTTGCTGTTGGGGTTCATCACTCTGTTCTTGTTCTAAAAGTATCATGTTTTATTTAACTTATCAAAAAATATTTTTGCTAATAAAAAAAAAAGATCAAACTTTTGTGTATGGTCTCGTTCTCCTTTGTTTCTTTCCCCACCCTTTGCGTCATAATATATGCTTTATTTTGTGTGAGGAAACATCTTTACAGAAAGTGTTAGTGTCCTACTAGTTCTTTGTTTTATGTTGATGACACTAGAATGAAGTTATGTATTTATTTGTTTATTTTTTCATTCCCTTTTCCACATTTTTAAGGGCCCTGGTAATCAGTTGGTCGATAGCTCCTTTGAGTGTCTTTTTGATCGTTTGATAGCTATATTGAACTATATTGTACGAGTTGAGATTCTGAGAAAAATTGAATCTTGATTTATAAAAAGGTGAAAGCTTTTGTATTTAAACTCACTAGTAAAAAAAAAGAAGAAAAATCTGCAAAGCAGAAGAAACAAAGATTAAGAGGATGATGCTTCATCAGATATATAAATTTTTGGTTTGACTAGTGTATTTTGGTGCTTTATCGCTGCAGCTATCACCAACTACCCTTGTGATTCTATAATTTAAATGGCCATGCACAAGTGGAGGGATTTTATGCCTCATTTAGTATCTGGAATGCTGCCTATGTTAGATTTGCAAAGCATAACCTGTCCAGAGGGAGGGAGGGAGTTGTCTTAGGTTGATGGCCAACATAAAAGTAGTCTAATAATGATAAAACCTCTAACCATTGAATAATAAACTTGAAGAATTATAGAGAATGTGTCTAGTAAATTCCGACTAGTTGAGGGGCAGTTGACTGATTGTTCTTTAATGTCTATGGTAAAAATAGGAATGGGATTTGAGTGTTTCAAATACTCCGCCGTGGGGCTTCCGTCTATGGAGAATTCGATGTTTGAACTTGTTCAGAAAAACCTATATTGGCCATTATCTGGAGAGGGGAAAAAAAGGGAAGAAAAGAAGTGTAATGTCTCTTTTTTAGCTTTTACTTAAGAGGCTTAATTGACAGTTGTTGATCCAGGGTTCTGCCTGAGGACGTGGACCTCACTGGCCGTGTTTCTGTCTTCTAATTTCTTTTCCTTCTTCAATTTCTACATTCAGAGCTTTCTTTTATTGCTTTCATCTTCTTTGTCACTCTTTGTCGTTTGTTCAGGTTTTCTCCTACCATTTTTTCTGTTAACTATGCAATTCTGTTTTCGTTATGGTTTCTGGATGCAATTCCTACTTTTCCTTTTATTTATTTTTCTTCTTCACCCCTAGTTTCATGTTGACTTTGCTTTTGGTTTTCAGCGGAGCTAGTAAAAGAAATGTTATGTGCAATTTAATTTTCTGATTGTTATTGTTGCTAAATCTTCGTTGTGGGAACATTTGGGTGCTAAGTTTTGATTTTGAATCCTAGGATGTTCTAGAAATGATAGATATTTCTTATATTCGCTGGATTATTCCAGTGCTGATCATTGAATGGTTACATGTACCTTTTTTGCATTTCTTCTTTTCAATCCCTCACCCCAAAAAAAAAAAAATAGGTATTTTGATTTTAAATTAAAACAGAGAGGCTAAACCTCTGTATGTGAATGATAGGTAATACCGGCTTGTTGGGATTAAGGAATAGTGTTGTTTCATCTAGATTAGTTTGGGTTTTCATGAAAGCTTTTTCAGTCTGGTAAAAGACTTGTATGTCAGTGAATAGATAAATATTCGATTAAAACAACATCTACTTCTAGATATTCTCAATGTATTAAAAGACCAATTAAGTATGGAATTAGATTGGGCCCGAATAGAGCAGAATGTTTACAACCTAAAGGATAATCATATAGTCAATCAGCAAATTTTGAAATTGAGGCTTAGTTAATTGATTGGTTGATGTGGTTTAAAGGTGAAAATTGTCTGAAAGTTCTTTCCTCATGTGGTTAAGCTCCTCTTTGTTTCATTGATCTAATGCTTTCCCCTTCTGTTGAAGGAAAGGTTCAGTTCGTGTGATTGATGGATATGCCTTTCAAGAAAATTGTTCGCGAGCTGAGGGAGGTGAAAGATGGGATCGGGGATATACTAAGGAAGGGAGCAGAAAGAAATCATTGGAGCAACAGAATCCGGTCAGATATTGTCCCATATGTGGCCCTTTCTGATCCCACTGAACAAGGGCAGTGGGCAAATTTACCACCAAAAGTGCTTTTGGATATCATCCGCAGGGTTGAAGAGAGTGAGACATCGTGGCCTGCTCGTTCTGTCATTGTCTTTTGCGCATCTGTTTGCAGATCATGGAGGAAAACTACAAAGGAGATTGTTAAGACTCCTGAGGAATGTGGTAGGCTTACCTTTCCCATTTCACTGAAGCAGGTAATCTCCTTAATCTGTTTCAATTTCCTTATTGTTGCTATTGCTGATGTTGATTTAAACTCAGAGAGATCTTTTTCATTTATTTTTAAACAAGCCGGCTCCGTGTGAATCCCCAATCCAGTGCTTTATCAAACGGGACAAAGCTAATTCAGTATATCGCCTCTACTTTGGTTTGACTCCATGTAAGTGTATATCTTCTGCCTATCCTAAACTTCTCTTCTTTTAACGCTTGTACTGCGAGCTGGATATCCTCTTGAATGATTCTTTGTCTTTGAACCAGTTTCAAGACTTTCTTTAATTTGATCAATTAACAGACTTGTCTTGTAAAAATTTGAAAATCCTACTTTATGGGGAACTTGCACTTAGGCTGATGTATTATGTCTGATATCTTGTTAGTATACCGGATTGAAAATGCGAAAGCTTTCATAACTTGTGCTTAAGTTTGTGGTCTATGTTTTTAATCGGAAAATCTTCCTAGTCAATAGAAGATGCTCAACTGACATTTTACTTGATGACAGCTGAGAATGAGAGGGATAAACTATTGTTGGCCGCCAAAAAGATCAGAAGGGCAACAAGCACAGACTTCGTGATATCGTTGGCTGCAGATGATTTTTCTCAAGCTAGCAATACATATGTTGGGAAACTGAGGCAAGTTCTATCAAATGTCCTGTTATATTTCCTTCACTCACTCCTCTCCGCCCCTTCAAAATGGCAGGAAGCAAGGAAAAGCTTCTACTCCCCTTCATTTTACTTTAATAATGTTTGAAGACAACTTGACCAGGTCTAACTTTGTTGGAACCAAGTTTACCATATATGATAGCCAACCTTCAAGCGAAACCGCCATTGAACATGGTCGACTTTGTCAAAGCTTTCAAGCAAAGAAAGTATCTCCAGGAGTACCTGCATGCAACTACAGAGTAGCTACCATTTCCTATGAGCTCAATATTGTTCGTCGTCCAAAAGGACCTAGGAGAATTCATTGCACAATGCATTCTATCCCTTTCTCTTCAATCCAGGAGGGAGGCAGTGCTCCAACACCTACATTATTCCCTCAATCTTTTGATGAGAAGTCATTATCTGCACCTCTCTCAAAAACAAAGGAGCTAGCTATAGATATCAGCTCGTCTGGCTCTTCTCAAGAGCCGCTTATGCTAAAAAACAAGACTCCTTGGTGGAATGAAAAAATGCACAGCTGGTGCTTAAATTTTAAAGGCCGTGTTACGGTGGCTTCTGTGAAAAATTTTCAGCTACTGGCAGCAGGTGATCCTTCTCACAATATACCTGTCGCAGAACAAGACAAAGTAATACTACAGTTTGGCAGAATTGGAAAGGACAGCTTCACGATGGACTACCGCTATCCACTTTCTGCTTTCCAAGCTTTTGCAATCTGCTTGACCAGCTTTGACTCGAAACCAGCCTGTGAATGATTTCATGCAGATTTTAAACATGATAAACTTTCTTCTTTTTCATTGCTTCGTAATGTTCTAAATTCATGTTTCATTCTCTAAGAAAAGTTCTCAATGATATGCACGGCCCTTTATATAAATGAGAATTTTAGTTGCGTCGTGTGTAGGGTGGGCATAGTTTAGGCAAATCCAAATGTTTGGATTTTGGAATGAATTTTTAGATTATGGATTGGATTTCAGATTTAATTTTTGAAATTTTTGAATTTCGGATTGGATGTTGGATTCGGAACTTTGCCTTTTTGGATATTCGAAATTTTGAAATTTTTATTCCTTATTGTATGGGTCAAAATCTCACCAGATAAGAATCGGCGTGGGAAGAAACGGCGAAAAGTTATTTGGGACTGTCGTATCTACACTACGCTATGACGACACGCACCTCGGCCACGGCCAAGGTCATGTATTTAGAACGTCTTAGAAGCGAATTGGATATTACGGCATTTCAGGGGTTAGCCCGTAATATAGTCGAATGACTTAAGTACCTCCGTTAATGACCAGTGGGTAAGAGAGAAGACCTAGTATATAACCTAAGTGAGAAGAAGAAGAAGTAGGGGGCGGAAAAAGGGAGACACAGACATGTTTCCTGAAAAGAAGAGAAACCTACCTTCATCTCTCTCTCCACCACGAAGAAGAAAGAAGCAAAGAAGTTCATATCATCAATACATATTGTTAGTCTAATCATATCAAATGTATTGGGTTCTACCTTAGTAAAGATCGGTGACTTCTCTCATTTACGTCTTCTTAATTATAGTTTGATATAATGAAAATTACCATCCTCTTCTTATACGAATGGATTCAATCACTATTGTAGTTAAATTTTATGTGTGCTATGTTTGCTTACTCTCATCTTCTATCTTAGGTCTGGAGTAAATTATCGTTGGTTAAGATTTGCCTAAAATTCCCTTATTAATTAGTTTAACAAAAAGCTCAATACTTTTTCGTCGAATAATATTTAGTGCTATCCATTAGACATTAGTATATTATCCATATGTCCAACACTAATAAGTCAAATACCCTACTAGAAAGCTCATATATACAATATTAATTACTAAGTCACTATTATTTTCTATTTAGACATGATTTAACTATTGTTAATTCTTATCGGCCATATTATGTGTCTATTGTATTTCCTTGATAATGGTTTCATTGCTTGCATGATTATTTTATTTGGATAATTACGATGAGAATGAGAAACTATTAAGGCAATTTAAAATGAATACTTCATTTGCATGTTCATTTTTGTAAGAAGAAAAGCAGCTCAACTTGTAGGTTCAAGACAAAAAATTCAAAATATTTAAATCGAATTAATTCAGCTTTGAGTTATTAAGTTGAAGCTCGATGATGCTTGATTAAACAAAGATGGGAGAGATTCTTAGATAAGTTTAGAACGAATCTGTGTAATTTGTGGAGTTATGGAGGAGATGCGATACTACCTTTTTTTTTTTTTTTTGGGTTTAGAAAATTGGTTGTTGATTAGTCTCAAGATTGACTACAGATATGTTTCAATAATTAAGTCTGGCTTTATTATTCGTTGATGTTACATATACTAGGATTCAGCACTGAGTAAACAAGATATACATTGTAATTAGAATTAGTTAAGGGATTTTCTATTGTAATTTCACGGTTTATTATGTATATATGGAAATAACTTTTATTAGACCCTTAAGTTGCAGGGTTATTTGCTTCTCTCTGCGGTTTCTTCAAAAGGTACCATTTGACCAACTCTTTCTTATTCTTTTATGTTCCCTAGTTTAGATTATATATGATCTCCCTAATTTTTTTTATCTTCCATTGATTCATGTGTTTTTGTTTTCTGTCGTCTCTTTTCTTCCTTTTCACCATTGCCAACTGTTACAGTCCTGTACTAATTTTTGCCCCCTTTTGTTGTTGGGTAAAAAGATTTACTATCTTTTATTTAACTTATCAAAAATATATTTTTACTAGTTTAAAAAAAAATCAAACTTTTTATCTATGTCTCTCTTCTTCTTAGGTTCTTACCTCACCAGTCACCCTTTGCGTCATAATATATGTTTTGTTTTGTGTGAGGAAACATCTTTATAGAACATGCTAAGGTGTACTACTTGTTCTTTGTTTTATGTTGATGACACTAAAATGAAGTTAATTAATCATTTATTTGTTTATTCCCTTTTCCACGTTACTTAGGACTCTGGTAATCAGTTGGTTGATAGCTCCCTTTAGTGTCCTTTTTTTATCGTTTGGTAGCTACATTGAACTATTTTGCATCAGTTGAGATTTTGAGAAAAAAATTGAATCTTGATTTTTAAAAAGGTGAAATGCTTTTGTTCTAATAAGCTTGTATTTGATTGAAATATTCCATAGGAGTCTCTCTACACATATTCGGGGAAGCTATGTACAAAATCACTTGTTCATGTTAAGTAAATATACCATTGTTCCAATCATTTAAGCATGACTTACGTAATAGTCTTTATTTCAAATTACTTGTAATTAAACTCTCAAAAAAAAAGTAAGGTTAAAGTTTTGATAGATCATATACATTCTCATGACGATGATGCATCAAATGTATTGATTTTCAGTTTCACTAGTGTCTTTTGGTGCTCTTGCCCTGCAACTATCACCGACTAAACTTGTGATTCTATAATTTAAATGGTCATGCACAGTCGAGGGATTTTGTGGCTCATTTAGTATCTGGAATGCTTCCTATGTGAGCTTCGCAAAGCATAACCTATCCCATTGGAGATAGAGAGAGTTGTCTTAGGTTGATGGCCAGATTAAAAGTAGTCTAATAATGATAAAACCTCTAACCATTGAATAATAAACTTGAAGAATTATAGAGAATGTGTCTACTGAATTCGGACTAGTTGAGGGCAGTTGATTGATTGTTCTTTAATGTCTATAGTAAAAAGAGGAAGGGGATTTGAGGTTTTCAAATACTCTGTCGTGGGGGTTCCTGTTAGGACCGAAAAAGTCAGGTGTCATCCGGAAGTTAGAAAAACAAATCTTGAATGCTATGTTTGAACTTGTTCAGAAAAACTTATATTGGCCATTATCTGGAGAGGAAAAAAAGAAGTGTAATGTCTCTTTTTTAGCTTTTATTTAAGAGGCTGAATTGACAGATATTGATTCAGGGTTCCGCCTGAGGACGTGGACCTCACTGGCCGTGTTTCTGTCTCCTAATTTCTTTTTCTTCTTCAATCTCTACATTTAGAGCGTTCTTTTATCGCTTTCATCTTCTTTGTCCCTCTTTGTTCAGGTTTTCTCCTACCATTTTCTCTATTTACTATGCATTTCTATCTTCATCTTGGTTTCTGGATGCAATTCCTATTTTTCCTTTTTTTCTATTCTTCACCCTAGTTTCATGTTGTCTTTGCTTTTGGTTTTGAGCGGAGCTAGTATAGAAATGCTATAAGATCTTACGTTTTAATTTTGCGTTGTCCTTTATTTCATTGTGTATTATTTTGCCTCTTATAAGCAATTGTGCAATTTGATTTTCTGATTGTTATTGTTGCTAAATCTTTATTTTGGGAACATTTGAGTGCGAAGTTTTGATTTTGAATCGTAGGATGTTATAGAAATGATTTATATTTCTAATATTCGCTGGATTATTCGTCTCTCATTTGTGTAATTTCAGTGCTGATCATTGAATGGTTACATGTCCATATCTTTTTTGCATTTCTTCTTCTCAATCCCTCACAAAAGGAAAAATATTAGGTATATTGATTTTTAATTAAAACAGAGAGGCTAAACCTCTGTGTTAGATCTGATAATTGAAGATATGGTGTATGTGGATAATAGGCAATGCCGACTTATTGGGATTGAGGCATATTGTTGTTACATCTAGATTAGGTTGGATTTTCACGAGAGTTTTTTCAGTCCGGTAAAAGACTTGTATGTCAGTGAATAGATAAATGTTCGATTAAAGAACATCTACTTCTAGATAATCTCAAAAATTGTCTTAAAAGACCAATGTAGACTGTAGGATGGAATTAGATTGGACCCGAATAGAGCAGAATGTTTACAACCTAAAGGAATATCATATAGTCAACCCATAAAAGTTGGAATTGAGGCTTCCTTGATTGAGTGATTCATCTGTTTAAAAGGTAAAAATTGTCTGAAAGTTCTTTCCTCGTGTGGTTAAGCTCCTCTTTGTTTCATTGATCTAAATGATTTGCCCTTCTGTTGAAGGAAAAGTGCAGTTCGTGTGATTGATGGATATGCCTTTCAAGAAATTGTTCGCAAGCTGAGGGAGATGACAGATGGGATAGGGAATAGACTAAGGGAGCGAGCAGAAAGAAAGCATTGGAGCAACAGAACTTGATCACATATTGTCCCATATGTGGCCCTCTCTGATCCCACTGAGCAAGGGCAGTGGGAAAATTTACCACCAAAAGTGCTTTTGGATATCATCCGCAGCGTTGAAGAGAGTGAGACATCATGTCCTGCTCGTTCTATCGTTGTCTTTTGAGCATCTATTTGCAGATCATGGAGGAAAATTACAAAGGAGATTGTTAAGACTCCTGAGGAATGTGGTAGGCTTACCTTTCCCATTTCACAGAAGCAGGTAATCTCTTTAAATTTGTTCCAGTTTCCTTCTTATTACTATTGCTGATGTTGATTTAAACTCAGAGAGATCTTTTTTGTTACCATTTTTAAACCAGTCGGGTCCCCGTTAATCCCCAATCCAGTGCTTTATTAAAAGGGACAAAGCTAATTCAGTATATCGCCTCTACTTGGGTATGATTCCATGTAAGTGAAAATCTTCTGCCTATCCTAAACTTCTCTTCTTTTTCCACTTGTACTGCGAGATGGATATCCTCTTAAGTAAGTATCCGTCTTTGAACTAGCTTCAAGTCTTTCTTTTATATGATCGATTAACAGACCTTGTCCTGTAACGATTTGAAACTCCTACTTTAATGGGGAACTTGCACTTAGGCTGATATATTATGTCTGACTTTCAAGTTAGTATACCGGATTGGAAATGCAAAAGCTTTCATAACTTGTGCTTAATGTTTGCGGTCTATGTTTTTCATAGGAAAATCTTTCTAGCCAATAGAAGATGTGCAACTGACATTTTACTTGATGACAGCTGAGAATGAGAGGGACAAACTATTGTTGGCTGCCAAGAAGATTAGTAGGGCAACAAGCACAGACTTAGTGATATCATGTTAAAAATAGTAATAAACTTGTTTCCATTTGTCCACAATT